AGATGTGGGGGGTGCTGGAGAACTGGATGGGCATGGATGTGGACATGAAGGAGAACCACGGCAACAAACGCCCCCCGGTCTTCCACGTGGAATGGGGAGAAGGGCAGAAGGAAAAGGAAAGACCAACAAAGGGAAGAGTGCCATCAAGGAAGAAGATCCCAACCATACCGAGATCCTGAAGGTCGTCACGAAATTGGTACTACGACACGAAGACACACTTCAGTGCCAGGCCATGAGACCAACTTTTTCGAGCACGGGTCCAGGATCGGTTCTCAAACTCATGACAACCAAGACCTTGGAATGGCACCAAGCTCCACAGACCGACAATGTTCGAGGAACTTCAGTCGAAGGACCTCGTTCACTTCCTATTTGATCAAGTGGAACCACGGATGGAAGCACAACCGGATGCACCACTCTCCTTGGCACGATCCAACGAATCCTGACACTTCTCCAACACAAAACCTTGATGAAGCCCTACCAGTCGGATTCAGAAGATGCTGAGCACCGACACCGAGAAGCAGCTCATTTTAGCCAGGATGAGACCAGCCACAATGCAAAGGACTCCTCTTGCCCAACACCTGGGGAAAACGCTGGCGGCTCTCTAGGTGATCGCGCTGACATCCCACCACTCCGGACGCTCGCCAATCCTGCAAGTGGCCATGGATGCCCTTTGCACCTGTACTTGTGCGGCGACAACAAGTCCAATTTGCACGGACCTTCAAAGTCTTCTTTTTTCATGGCATCATTTGGACTACATGCACTAGTTAAACCTGCTGACCTCACGTGTGTTCAGATTGACCGTTTTGACTCCTATGGTCGAAAGAACCGCGCTCGCGCCACCTGGGACACCAAGGTCTGGATCCCTCACTTTGTCCTTGGCACGCTGGAGGTGGACAACATCTCCTACCAGGTTTGCTCCCTTGTGCACCACCTGGGCAATGACGCGCAATCAATCAGGACACCACTGCGCCGCCGTCTTCGATGGCAAGAACTGGTGGATCTATGATGATGTGGAAGAACCGCAATTTGCCCCCAGTGGTTTTGGAAAATATTTGCCTGATCTGGCTCACCTGTGGACCTCATGGGGGGAGCTGAGGACATGAGGAATGCCCACAGCTCGACTCCTCGACCATGGTGGACAACATTCTGAACGCTACTGGTCAAGAAATGCATCTGCTGCGGGACCTTCCTGCAGGACATGAACAAGCACTTGTACGAGGTCCACCGAGCTCACAGGAATCAAGCTGCATCGATAGCTGAATCTTGCGCAGAGCAGTTCACCTTGAAGGCCCATCCAACGAGATGGTGCGCCTGTCAGCCCTACACCATGGCCAAAGGCCCAGGCCTCGACATTGGCCATGCTGCTTGATAGATCGTTTGGTCATTGACCCTACGGGGTACAGAGCGGACCGCCACATGAGCTAAGGTCCACGCTTTCGTCACTCGATGAGCGTATGGAAAAAGAAAAGAAAAAAGAAAGAAAGAGATGATGATGATGATGACGATGATGATGATGATGATGATGGTGATGATGATGATGACGACGACGATGATGATGATGATGACTATGATGGTGAGGAGAAGGAGGAGGAGGAGGAGGATGGATGGAGGTGACCATGAAGTTGGTAGCTCTTTACGGAGATCCCTTCGCAGCTTTCGCAAAACAAAAAACAGAAAGTGATTGCTCCGTAAAATTCCATAAACAACACAGAAATGCTCGGAAAGCGAAAGCTGCGCAAAAAGGAACACCAAAAGGCATAAACCTGAAATGACCTCATCTTCCTACAACCCGCCATCATCTGACCTTTGGCCACGAAAGCTGTTTTCCGGCTCGTACGCCTTTCTTAAGCTACATCTCTATCCCTAACCCCAGAGCAAGCCAACTTGAAAGAAAATTTGGCCTTTTCTTCTGGCTTTGCTTCTGACTTCGCTTCTGGTTCCGGTTCCTGCAGAAACCGATTTTGGGTCACTGTGTCAAAAAGTCTCCTCTCCCCTCGCTTGCTTGCGCGTTTCTCCGTCCGTCCGTCCGTCCGGCCACGAAAGCTGTTTTCCGGCTTGTACATCTCTATCCCTAACCCCAGGGCAAGCCAACTTGAAAGAAAATTGGGCCTTTTCTTCTGGCTTTGCTTCTGACTTCGCTTCTGGTTCCGGTT